AATTCAACTTTGCGCCAGGGCAATGTTACTCACCACGAATACCTCCAGGTGACTAGATTCTCTCTCGCCGGTATGTGGAGGTCGTATTTCACGATACTTATCAGCTAATGATATCACTAATTATGTTGTATAGGTTGGCAAGGGAAGAGATGTTGGACTCAATCAGATTCTTTGTTTGAGGGGAAAGTTGCAGGTGGTAACGGGGAACAAGTCCTTAGTAGAGATGTCTACAGGCTTGGTCAGCTTTTTGATTTCTTCAGAATGCTATCGTTCTACTTCACAACTGTGGGATACTACTTTTGCACCATGGTACACTGTTCTTTCCAATGGAATACATGTAGGGAGCGGCTAAATACACCCCACTAGTTTCTAAATACACCCAGCTCCTGCTCAAACTTGCAGAACACAACGAAAGCACTTGACCAACACTAGCTTAGCATCTGTTTGGCAAGTGTTCCTTGGACACTCCTCATTGACTTCCAACATCAGTGATTACCAGAACACTCATCATTGTGTTAGGCTGTTAGCAAAGTGTTGGTCGCACAGTACTTCTTCAGCAAACACTAGTGTTTTCTGACACTCTTAAATGTGCTAAATCAATGTTGCTAGATTGATTTTTTTCTACAAATAAGGTGTATCTATTAAACTAGGGGTTCAAATTGCCGCATCCTTACTATTATTAGATGTCACTTACAAGTATTGCTATTTCTTGTTTTGGTCGTCTATATACTTGAACATGTAAATAGTTATTTGCCTCATGTGTCTAATGGCTCGCTATCATTTGTTTATGTAGTTAACAGTGCTCAGTGCCTACAGTTTTCTCTATGGGAGAGCCTATTTGGTATGTTCTGATACATAACTACATCTTTATCACTAAGTCATGGTTATTAAGGCGTCGCCTATTCGACGCTTAGGCAGTAAGGCGGTCTGCCATGGATGCCTTAATGGACGAATCCCATCTGATGTACTGTAATTGTTAAATTTTACAAGCTGTATTCCTGATGGATGCACCTGAATTTCTTGTCTCAGGCATTATCTGGGGTTGGTGAAACGATTCAAGAAAGAGCAGATATATTTGATAATACTGCACTAAATGCTGCTCTCAATGCACAGTTTCTTTTTCAGATTGGTGTATTTAGTGCAGTGCCAATGATTTTGGGTTTCATCTTGGAACAAGGATTCCTGAGAGTATGTTATTCATCTCTTGATTTTCAGCGGTTATCATTTATTCAAAATGCAGCTATTCCTTCAAAAAGTTTATGTTTCGTATAATTGTTATTTATTTCTTTGGAAATGAATGCCAGAT